TGGATCTCAAGGCCAATTCCACCGCCATGGCCAGTGGTGGTCTGGAACGGCCACCTTGGCTCTCATGGATGGCTACCCCCTGTAACTCAGCTTTTTCTTTTGGGGCCACGTCAGGATTTAATGCTCTGCCACTTACCCAGCTCTTTAGTAACTGTGCATCCTTAGGCAAGTTGGTCCCTCTGAGCCTCCTATTTCCTGAGTTAATAGTGTATCTTGCGTGCAAAGTTCCTGCGGATTTAAATGTAGTTTTGTACACACACATGAGCGTGCACACATGTAAACACTTGTTGCATGTTTTCGCACTTGTTGCAAGCGGTGGTAGTTTTCTAAGCCGCCCAGTTTGTGCTAATACTAGCAGTGGTGAGGAATAACTGTACTTCAGCCCCTGGATTATATGTACGTGTCTACGCACGTAATTTTTGTAGGTGGGTTATGAGTTTATGTGAGTTTTATTTGGAGATTGGACCAAAAAAAAAAAAAAAAAAACCTTGAAGTCTTTCCTAATAATTGGGGGAGTTTAAAGTATAGTCTGTGTGAGCTTGATATCAGTAATCCAATTTAACCAATAAATACTGTGCTTCTGCTCCATACCCAGTACAGAGCTGAACATGATGGAAGTGCAAAAATGATACATGATAGCATCCTCCTCCAGTGATAACAGCCTCACATTTGTAAGCAAAACCTTACATTTGCACTTCACATTTACAGATTCCCATAGAACACAGCACGGGAATTTTGTGCGGACTCCTCGGTCATGATTGAATTTTAGACCAGACTTCGGTTGAACCCAGAAAGCATTAATTGGTCCTCCATTCCATTTTATTTTGCTGTGCTTAATAAATCAGCTTCTTCTGTTTTATTCATTGACACATTGAAGATTTATTTTCTGCCTTTATCCCCCATCGCTGTGTTTGAAACAGCTTTTCTGGCACATTTCTAATCCAAATCAAACTCCACACCAGAAACAAATTCAACCTAACAGACAGTAGAATCATTTCATGTTTTAAAAATATCTGCTCAGTTGCTCTTTTAACAGATAGGAGACAATATGGCACCTTCAAAATAAAACAGATCACAAGATATCAGGGAGATAGAAAGTCTTAACTGCAGGGTTGCTATTAAGACTTGTCACTCATGGCCAAAGTCAATCTGAGCTGAGGTTCCCTGGAGAATTTCCTCAACAGGCTGGAATAAGAGATCCAATCAGCCCAACTAATGAAATGTGAAATAATAGGAAATAAGAGCCTAGGATGAGAAAAAGCCAGGGTTCTGCTCAGAGGGAGTATGACTAGACCTGAACAACGCCCACCCCTTCTCACCAAACACAGATGACATCCCTAACCTGGTGGCGTCCCCAAAACCATCTGCTCCTCATCCTGAGACAGGCCGAACATCTCATTTGCTGATCAGGACAGCTTTGATCTGGCTCGAGGCCTGGTGTCATCTCCTGTTTCCCTCACTCCGATGGACAGAGAGGATATTTTCTTGAGCAATCTGAGAAGTTCTGTGGAGGAGAATTCTGTTTCTGATTTGGGTAGGGAATTTGAAGTGCACTGGATGAGCCCCTGGGATGGAAACCAATTTTGAGACTTGCTTTAAAACGGAATCGAAACCTACAGGGCTTTATTGTTCTGTTCTCACACGTAGAGCCTCTGGACTCCATGACATGGGCCGACTGTTCCACACAACTTTGCTTTTAAATTATGCTGTCAGAGCCTGCGTGCGTGTATTATGATTAATGGGGTTCCCCCATGTGGTTCCAGTTTTCGGGACATCATTTTTCTTCAAGACTGTGTGCTCCTTGGTGGTCTTTGCCTTTTCATTCTGAAGAGAGACCTACAAATTCCCTGATACTGTGGCTTCTCTTAATGATGAAAACCCTGCCTTAGATCTTTCCAGTCATTTACACCTAAATATTTCCACCAGTGACAGTAACTTCCTCTTGAAATGACCCAGCTGGAATTTCCCCTGAAAACAGGGTGAGAGGGAGGGAGGCTGCTTTTATTTCTTTTCTCTCTGTCCCTTTTCCCCCCTCCCACTCTCCTTGGCTCTCCTGCCCCACCCCCTTCGCACTCCCCCCCCCGCCACACACACACCCATGCTACTCGCATTTCATTTAGATGAAGTGCTTGGAAAATAAATAAATAAATGAGACCACAGTGCCGATCTGGAATTCCACAAGCGTGGCCATATTAAGAGCGTTTAACATGTGGCTGGTGTTTGTATAGAGAAGTACGGAGCAGCTTTTTATTTAAGCATGCAGCGTATACGTCTCTACCTGTCACTCTGTATGAACAAGGCATCTTCCTGTTATGGACTCGGCCTCATAAAGTTTTTATCGTTCACGTTTGAGGTTGGCCGGAGGTGGTTATTTATCCGACTCCAGGACGTTACACACACTTGGGGTGTTTATTCTGGAGGGGTTTTTGTGTACCAAAAGTGTCTGGTACAGCTGAAGAACAAGCAAAAGGAGCCAAGTGGGAAGACATCGTGAAAAATCTTGAATCCAGGCACAAGTCATTGAAAAAAAGAAAATTTGGCCAAGGAATGTGACCATGAGGGTGAGGTACAATGAGAAGAATGCAGGCAGAGCCGTCTCTCAACAACAGAGGATCTGGAGACTCGGAAACGGATTGCTTCTGGGGTGTTCATGCCTTGACTTACAGACCAGGCCTCTGGAAAACAAGGCTGCGAATTGAACCACAATTTCAAATGAAGTAGAAGTACCTCTGCAGTGATCCAGCAGTCTCACTTCTGGTTACATATTCACAAAAACTGAAAACAGGATTGCGAAGAGATCTTTGCATCCCCGTGTTCTTTGCAACATTATTTGCAAGAGCCGAGAGACGGAAGGCACACAAATGTCCACTGATGAATGGATGAAGAAACAAAATGTGGTAAATACATATAACAAAATATTATGCAGCCTAAAAAGAAGGAAATCTTGCCATGTGCTTCAACAGAATGAGACTTGAGGACATTATTCTAAGTGAAAAAGCCAGTCTCTCTCTCTCATACACACACAGACAAATACGATACAATTGTGTTTATATGGGGTACCTAGCGTAGTTAAACTCATAGAAACAGAAAGTAGAATGGTGGTTACTAAAGGCTGGGAGGAGGGAAGAATGAGGAGTTGTTTAATGGAAGGAGTTTTATTCATACAAGATGAGAATGTTCTAGAGAGATCTGTTGTATAGCAGCGTGCATAGAGTTAACAATACTGTACTGGACACTGAAAAGTTGGTTAAAAGGGTAAATTTGTGTTACGTGCTTTTTCCCTCAACAGAAGAACCAAAGAAATACCTTTTTAAAGTCAATAATTAAAAATCCAGAAAGTTTCTTATGCAGAAGTGGGTAGGGCTCTGTTTACCCAAACATCTTGCAGGCATCCGACATGGAGATTCAGAAGATGGCTAGTTAATCAGATCTGTTAATCAAGAAATAACCTCTGCTTGCCAAACACAATGTTGGGGCTCTTGGCCACCACTCAGTTATTCCAAGAAAAGAGGGTAAGACTTGCCTCCTCTCTCCCACCACCATGTCTTATGGTTCTATATATTTTTGTGCTTTCTGCCAATCCTTGGGTATCAATGCCTATCTGGTATCGGTAATCTGGTGACATTCAAAGTGTCAAAAGGAACAAAAGACAGAACTGATGGGCCTGTGTGAAACTAGGTCAGCCAGCGTGTCAGTGTAGATCCGTAGCAGATAATTAAAGAGTCCATTCAGACATCCTCAGGGGACCCTGAGGAAACTTTGAGGGGAGGGCTCATTTCTGAGGAGTTATGCGGCACTTTCTTCCTGTGAAGATCAGATTTCTTTCTGAATCAACCAATCTCCACACTCCTCTGGAAGGATACACCTTAGAACAACAGGACTTTGTTTTCAGCTGCCTTTATCCCCCCACACCTTTCTGATGACCTTTCACCTCAGTTTTCCTATTTGTCTTGATGCCAAACAAAGCTTAACCACCATCTTCCAGTAACTTCAGGGAGAGCACCCGCTCATCTCCTGAGGCTTGTGCGTTCCCAGCCGGAGCGATATCAGCCCCGAGGAGGCAAAAGTAGACGCTTGTTGGGGAGGGCAGGTCTTTTAAATCTTGGCTATTTCACTGGTTTGCAAAATCTTACCTCAGCGTGTCTCATTTGTCTTGTTAAGGAGAATCTCAGTTTAACTTTTTCTCCCTGGGTGAAATGATCATGAAAGGAAGGTTAAAAAGCACAGCTCTTGCTGATAGGAATGTTATTCAGCCACAGCTGAAGTAAACTGGATTCAAACCAAGAGGAAAAACTGATCTAGTTCTCACATTCTGCTTTCACAAACCGGAGAAATGGCGAATCTCCTTCTGTACTATACCGGCAGGCCCTTAGTGCCGTAATGTCCCCTCAAGCACCCTGGGTTCAACCTTGTTTTTGGTATTCACCTTCAATCTTTGAGGAGCTCTTAGTTCTTCCGTGCACCATTTCTGTGGGTGCTAAAAACCGATGTTCCATCTATGGCAGAGCATGCCTTTGCTTAAAACCTATGCCTCTCCCAAGGTATCCGTTCTGGAATAAAACCGTGTGCTTTCAAGCTTCCAGTGCCTACCTCAGTGTTTGGTGGTCGGCTCAATGTATCTGATCATTAAAAATGTTGGGGTCATGAAAGAACTTTAGTTTTAACTAGAGCTGGGTCTGGGGTGAAGCAAGCAGGGGTTTGGGGGGGTAAAATTGAAAGGCACACAGGCATAACCCCTATGTTCCAAGCCAAAGACTGACCCTAGTCCTGACCCCAGTTTTAACAGAAGTGCAGTCCGATTTCCACATGCTTCTCTTTTCCAAGTTGATTTGCACAGGCAGTTCTCTAGAAGTGGTAGGGTCACAGAAGTGCAGGAACAAGGGATTTAAAACCACTGTTTCAACACCCCCTCCATTCTGCTTTTAGGAGTGAACTTCTTTCTACTTGCATGTGACTCCCATTGACCCCAGAACCCTAAATTTTTCATTTCTGTCTTCTAGATTACTACGGATCTGAGGCAGCGCTGCACGGACAACCACACCGGGACCTCGGCCTCGGCCCCCATGGCCGCAGGCATCATTGCGTTGGCCCTGGAAGCCAAGTAAGCCTATCTCCCTATGTCTCCGCTGCCGACAGCCCCTCACCTCAAGGACAACTTAGCCATCCCCTCCGATAGAATCCCTAGGGCAAGGGCCCAAGATAGAACCTTCTAAGTCCCACCTTTATAAAACACCAAAGATGAGGGTTTTAAACAGAATTGTTTTCCCTCTATTAAGAAAAAAAAAAACCCACATTTCTTTTTTGGTTTTTATATCCTTAAAAAATCAAACTGTGTAATTACTTTATTATGGAGTCATAGCGCAAGCATGCCAGTTGGCTCCAACACTCTTGCCTTGTTGAGGTTTTTATTCTAGTCTGGGAATGTTCCTGTGAGGCTCAGAGCAGTCGGGGCCCTTTCCCTGCGGAACAGTGAGGCAGCTCAGATTCCATGACAATAGCGCTCCCTCTGGGGGACAGAATGTGTCAAGGTCATATGACAGATGCTCAGGGACAGGAACGACCCATCTACCTTCAATCCTGTTCAACGTGGTCAAATTCTGTGTCTCAAAGATCCCTTTGAAAGGCCCCTTAGGTGATGTGCAGTAGGTCTCACCTCGTCTTTCTGTAAACACCAACAGATTTTGCTGTCTTAACTCTTTGAAATCACTCATCTTAATTCTGTCAAAACTCATACAGATCTACACTCTCTTACCCTCCGTTTCAAAATCCGAAACGTCCAGAAAACTGAAAGTTCTTTTGCAAATTTGACACACAAACTCCTCTGATAGCAAAGCTTGCCCTGAACTGGTTTGAGATCTTTTACAGTCTTTGTTGTGAAAATTCATACATTTTACTGCAGAAGTATGAATGTATTGGATTATAAGGTGCTGGCTGAGACCCCCCGCCCCCCACCAACTGGAAGTTTTGTGTAATATGTGCTCTGGATGCCATATCTGAAAAAAATTTGAATTCCAAGCACATCAGGTCCAAAGATTTTAGAAAAAGGACTGTGGGCCTGCACTCTGACACCCTCCTACAAGAGGACCATAAAAGCAGCTGAAGTAATAACGTAAGTGTTTTTCCAAAAATAGCCTTGCACCCCTGCCCGAGGGAGGAAGGGAAAGATCCTTTGACTTAGTCGTACCCTGACGTACAGCAATAGTAGGTGACAAGAAAAGAATACAAGAATCATGACGAGACACGGGTACTTCAGTAAGAAAGGTTCTGGCTCATTTTCAATACATTTACAGCTGCCCCTTTTTAAGGCAGGGGGCCTTTATTAAGGCAGGCGGGCCTTAATGTAAAATGGAAAGAGTAAATTATAAGCCGTGGAAAGCCTTGGAGTGAGACAGACAGAAGAACACAGCTCTGGATGTGGGCTGCCTTAGTTTGTTCCGACCACTATAACAAAATACCATAAATGGGGTAGCTTGTAACAACAGACATTTATTTCTCCTTTTGCTGGAGGCCCGGAAGTCTAAAATCAAGATACTGGTAGCTTTGGTGTGTGGTGAAGGCCCACTTCCTAGCTGGGTCCCATGGCAGCAGGAAGGGGCAAGGTAAGGGAGCTCTCTCTGGAGTCTCTTGTAAGGGTACTAACCCCACTCATGAAGGCTCCACCCTCCTGTTCTAATCACCTCCCAGAGACCCCATGTCCTAGTACCATCATGTTGGGCAATAGATTTCAACACACGAGTTTTGTAGGAACAGAAACATTCAGGACATAACACGTATTGTATCTCTTGTTGGCCTCTTGCCTAAACATTGGTGCTAAGGGATGCCTAGCTTCCCACAAATCTTTGTATTTCTTCCTTTTTGATGAGAAATATTAATCATTTCAGCGTATCATATGTTTTAAAGTGGTGAAAGTTGGGGTGTAGCAAAAAACTTGTACTTACCCTATTAAATTCTCACTTGACAACTTTTCACTGGGCAGCTCTGCCCCCAGCAGTCTCCATTAACTGTCTGTTGTTAAGTGGGTCACTGTTGTTTGGATTTTTGAAAATAGATTGTCTTTATCCTGAAATTCTAGGGTGTTTCTCAGGAATATTTTCCAATGCACAAAATACTGAAGGGGAAAAAAAGTCAGGAATTTTTCCTGAACCTCCCCATTCCCCCCCACCAAAAAATGATTGTCATCTCAAACTTTGCAACCAGGTGCCCTATCTGTGGCTATAGACCTACAGGATACTCAGTTCTGTGGGATATTACACCATAACACTCATATTTCAACAATTCTTTTGACCAATAAGCTCAAATGGAAAATCCTCACCTTTGTGCCCCAAACAGCCCACTCAGTTGGATAAGTTCGCTTTGGGGCTGGGAACACCCCGGAATTCTTCATCTGTTTTCTCTTTCTTTGCATTTTGAGCATTTTTAAAGACTAATTTTTGCCTCCACTGTGATGAGTAGAAGGAAGGTTGCAGGATACACCCTACCTGGAAAAATCCACCGTAGATTAAGATTTTCAGCAGTACAGTTTGATGTTGGGGCCAAAGTAGATGGCCAGTAATCTGATAAAATAAGAAAGGATAAGCCTTGCCTCTTACCCCCACTGGCTTGTTCTACAGGCCAGTCTTTGCCTCTGAGTGAAGGTGGAGGTTAGGAGAAAGATGTCGAAGGGGCATTAAAAGTGGATGATCCACTGGGATCAATAAGCCATGGGCCTCCCACATGAGGAAAACGTATCTGAACTAAGAAATTGGAGCCAGGAGCTCAAATGACAGTCTGCCAAGGCTGTGGTCATTCAAGCGCTAAGCCTAAGCCCACTCTGCAGCCCCCGCACCCCGTCCCCGGGGATCTCTTATACTAGTACTTCTCAACAACGCTTGGACCTTGGTATTTGGAGATTCAGCCTCTCCTCTCACAAGCTGAAAAGCCCGATCTACGAGATACTCCCTTGAAAGGAGAGAGGGGAGAGGGCAGAGGGAGGCAGAGTTGGGCGCCAGGACACTGCCGCACTCCAGACACGCATCCCCTGCTCAGGTCAGTGAGGAACGATGAGGCTCAGTGCTGGGGTGAAGAACCACCAGCAGGGGCTTTGATCCCTGTTTATTGGCAACGGCCCAACTCTCCACGTCCTAGAGGGAAGCATCCTCACTTCTCCTGAGGTCGCTCGACTACAGTATCTACTCAGGGAAAGCTCCCACCTGCCGAGCTCCCCGCAGCCTGCTTTCTTTGCATCCGCAGGTGCTTGCCTGCATCAGTAGAACAGTAGATCCTCCTCTGGAACGGCTGCAACCATTGGCCATTCTGATGCTTCTCGCTCCCCTCCCCTCAGAGCTTTTCCCAACAACAAACACCAAAAAAACCCCAAAAAACAAACAAACAAAAAAACACCTTGGTAGGAATCTAAGAGGAAAGAAAACAAAAACAAACAAATACAAAGCATAGAAACAGATAAGCTTCAAGCGTACAGATCTCTTATCCCAGCTCAACAAAAGCTCAGTCATGAGTTAACTCTGCGTGACAGCTCACAGGACAGCCTCCCCCCACCATCCTTCTCCCACGGGTGTGTAAGAACACGTATTGTAACAGACTCCCCTGTAGCACACCCCAGATCCTCAGGTAAAAGTGAATCCTCCCAAGACCAGAAGGATTCTGAGTGCCTCTAAAAATCTGCCACCTTACCTGCTCTCCCTGGGTTTGAGCCCCTTCTTCTCTCCAGCTGCCTCTGACGTCTGATCGCAAACTTTGCCTTTCTAGTAGATAAGGCAGTTTCCTTCTGCTCCCAGAGATGTTGCCTGGGCACTGAAAGTGGTGCATTTCTTAGCTTTCTAAAAAAAAACTGTAAGCGATTTCAGAATAAGAGAAAAAACTGTGCTCTTAAAAGAAAGGGGAGAAAACTTTTTGTGTTGGGATGCTCTTGTCATGTGTGTACTAGTTCAGAGGTTTATAATATTTCAATTATTTGGGTTTTGTGGATTTGGAAGGAATTTTCGGGTTTTTCAGCGGAGTGAAAAAGGAATATGTAATCAGTGATTATGAGTGAACTAATTATCATTTGGGCCATTGCTACTTCAAGTGATGGTTTTTGTATGGCATAACTCAGAAAGCTCTGGTAAAAGGAGTGTCCTTAAATGAAGAAAGTAGTGAAACATGACTAACAGTTTTAGGAGAGCTGCCTACAAGAACACCAGGTCACGTGTATAAAGAGCCTTGCATCTTGACACTAATATACATATATCGCTACTACTCTAAGCCCGCTGGGAAGAGAAAAGACAGTCGTTAGCAAGTGATGTTTCCTACAAAATGGCTTATAAAATAAAAATTGAAATAATTGACCTTCATAAAAATACACTGCTCAGATTGGTTTTTTTTTTTTTTTTTAAGACTTTGAGAGAGAGAGAGCATGAGTAGGGGGAGAGGCAGAGAGAGTGGGAGAAGTAGACTCCCCGCTGAGCAGAGAGCCCGATGTGGGGCTCGATCCCAGGACCCTGAGATCGTGACCTGAGCTGAAGGTAGATGCTTGATGAACTGAGCCACCCAAGCGCCCCTATTGTTCAATTTCTTAAACTAAGCTTTACTGAAAGTTTCCCTGACCTGAGTCTGTAACTATTGGCAAAGAGAAGCTAGTTTAGGGGAATCTTTTATATGTTCAATTACCAGCATTAGCTCAGGACATTCAAAAGTGAAGTTTACTAAAGAAACCTTTCGGCCTTAAGTTGCAAATGGTCTCTCACTGGAAATTTGAATAATATATTTTCAGCAATCAAGAAATGTTGCACAGTGAATGGTCAATAAAAGGGACTGAGTCAGGAAGAAATTTCTAAAATTATTTAGGACTTTGAGAAGGAGGGTTCCGATACACAGAATATTCCACAAATCCTTGTTTTAGTGACCTGGAAGCGTTTTCCTCAGATTTCATATCTCAGGGGCCTCAGGGATACCTTCCTTTGAGAACATCTCATGTATCTGGACCTAACTTCAGAAAATACACAAATTGGGGTGGCAGTGTCACTCTGTACTAGAAATATACCTGGAGTGTATTAAACAGTCACTGCTTCTGGTATGGTAGATAGCTAGCTAGCCCCATGGGCATACATATGCACACATCTCTAG